AAGGACATCAGGGTTAAAATTGTAGACCTGCACAAGGCTGGGATGGGCTACAGGACAATAGGCAAGCAGCTTGGTGAGAAGGCAACAACTGTTGGCGCAATTATTAGAAAATGGAAGAAGTTCAAGATGACGGTCAATCACCCTCGGTCTGGGGCTCCATGCAAGATCTCACCTCGTGGGGCATCAATGATCATGAGGAAGGTGAGGGATCAGCCCAGAACTACACGGCAGGACCTGGTCAATGACCTGAAGAGAGCTGGGACCATAGTCTCAAAGAAAACCATTAGTTACACACTACTCCGTCATGGATTAAAATCCTGCAGCGCGCGCAAGGTCCCCCTGCTCAAGCCAGCGCATGTCCAGGCCCGTCTGAAGTTTGCCAATGACCATCTGGATGATCCAGAGGAGGAATGGGAGAAGGTCATGTGGTCTGATGAGACAAAAATAGAGCTTTTTGGTCTAAACTCCACTCGCCGTGTTTGGAGGAAGAGGAAGGATGAGTACAACCCCAAGAACACCATCCCAACCATGAAGTATGGAGGTGGAAAAATCATTCTTTGGGGATGCTTATCTGAAAAGGGGACAGGACGACTGCACCGTATTGAGGGGAGAATGGATGGGGCCATGTATCGCGAGATCTTGGCCAACAACCTCCTTCCCTCAGTAAGAGCATTGAAGATGGGTCGTGGCTGGGTCTTCCAGGATGACAATGACCCGAAACACACAGCCAGGGCAACTAAGGAGTGGCTCCGTAAGAAACATATCAAGGTCCTGGAGTGGCCTTGCCAGTCTCCAGACCTGAACCCAATATAAAATCTTTGGAGGGAGCTGAAAGTCTGTATTGCCCAGCGACAGCCCCGAAACCTGAAGGATCTGGAGAAGGTCTGTATGGAGGAGTGGGCCAAAATCCCTGCTGCAGTGTGTGCAAACCTGGTCAAGACCTACAGGAAACGTATGATCTCTGTAATTGCAAACAAAGGTTTCTGCACCAAATATTAAGTTCTGCTTTTCTGATGTATCAAATACTTATGTCATGCAATAAAATGCAAATTAATTACTTAAAAATCATACAATGTGATTTTCTGGATTTTTGATTCCGTCTCTCACAGTTGAAGTGTACCTATGATAAAGATTACAGACTTCTACATGCTTTGTAAGTAGGAAAACCTGCAAAATCGTCAGTGTATCAAATACTTGTTCTCCCCACTGTATCTATCAAGTCCAGCTCTCTGAAAAATGTCTTCCATATCTGGAATCCCAAGGAGATTAGCCAAAAGTCTCTTAATGTCTCCTATGGCAGACTGTGTTCCCACCGTAATTTCTTCCAATTTTGAAATCCAAGGATATGCTCCATCTTGAAGAGTAGGCAGCTTCTCAAGTATATCTGACATATCGGTATTCTTCAAAGGCCTATATTCTAGGTTCTGTCCTCGAAATATCATCTGGCATCATCTTCTTACTTGTGCCCTCTTTCCTTTGCCTCAATGTATACTTCTTCTCCAATTCTTGGGATCCTTTTCTCAGCAGTTTTTTCTTCTGTATCTTCAGCTTCTTGAGTTGTTCTTCCAGTTCTCTTACTTTTTCTAAATTATTATCCTTTTCCAGGCATGATACGCATCGGTCTATATCTCTTTCTTTTTATTTTGTGCTAATCATTGTAGGATCAAATCCTCTTGAATATGAAGCACCTTTCATCTCCAAATCTTTATCGCTTTCTCCTTACTTTTGGAGTTTGGATTCATCTTTATGGTCGTTTCTGCTTTTCCTCTCTCTATTATTCAAGCACTTTCATTATGTTGATGACGTCAGGGTTTTAGAGTCCCTTCCACTGGCCATGGTTGTTCAATGTCAGGCCAACGTTTATTCCCTTTTCCAGATAACCTTGCAATACCATTAACTAGAGGATTACTATTTTCTACTACATCAACAGGAGTAATTACTTTCATAGTTTTGATGTCCTTTTTCCCCCTTGTAACAACTCTTTCATATTCCTTTATTGTGAATTATTTTATTATTTTAGACTATATAGCTTATTGTTCCCTCTTTTTTCCTCTCTTTCCCCCCCAAATTAATTAATTAATTAATCAATTAATGTATTCATCAATTCCTCAATTTACTTATTTGTATCAATTTATTTTATTTTATTTTACCAAATTATTGATTAGTGGCAATCTTACCACATCCGATCAGGAAAGTAAATGAAAGTAGTCAACTTCAGAGCAATCCAAAAAAAGAAAGACCTCTAATCCAGCAACACTACAGCACTCACAAACAAATTGCCTAATAAGCACCCAATTACTTTAATTTTACAGAATAATGTCAGTGCTGGATTTCCCCACTCAACTCTAATCAAACCAACTCATGCACAAAAACTCCAAAATGCAATTCTTAATTACATCAATTGATCAGTCTGTTGCCAAGTCCTTGTCAAATTGTCACAACATTAAATATGCTAGGCACCCAAAATATCCTCTATGGGAAGGTACGTTTTGTGAATAGAACAGTACTAGCCTTGATTTGACTTTTTCCGTTGCAGCACACCCTGTCGCGTGATGCACTCGTCAGCACCTCCTCTCTCTCTGTCTCCTCCTTATCGTCTCTCATATCACAGAAGAACAAAGAACAGACAAGAATTTAGTATTTTATGCACTCACTGGGTTATTTCAACCATGCAATACTCCTCTGTTCACATTCGCTCTAAAAAATAAGCAAACAGCTTAACTCAGGAATAGTATAAATAGCTCAATAACATTTTATTTATTTATTTATTTAATTATTTTTATTTTTAATCTGTCAACATATCTCTCATTTATCAATTCAATAGATCTCAATCAAATAGTTTCATCGTTAAGCAACAGCCGATTTAACAAACAGAACACTCCATTCGTGTTTAAGTCACCCCCTCCCTCTCTGTCTGCTCTGAGTCTGCATCTCCCAGCAGCTCAGTGCAGGCAGGGGAGTGGCATATTTGCTCTACGTAACTCTAAACTCATAAAATCACACGCATGCGTAGTTCATTCACCAATGCGATTTCAGAGTGAGAAGAGCTCCCAAGCAGCTCTCTCCAAGCTAAACAACAGAAAGTAGACAGACCAGCTGTACCTCCATTATTTCCCCCCAACAGTCAAACAGTAACACTTAACAGAGCTCACAAACCAACACAAAACATAGAACACAAATCCTACTCTCTTCCACACACACACACACACACATACAGTTTAAGAGGCTTATATCCGTTCCTACGGACCCCTAAGCATGCTACTACCATCGCGCCATTTTTTCCTTTGTTCCTAAATTTCTGCTACCTTGAGTTCGCGGATGCGTGGTTACATCGAACATATACCTCGTCAGCTATAAGTCGAGCGGTAACTTGTAACCGAATGTATGTACCACAATCTCCAGTTCCCAGAACTGACCTCAAAAACCAACCTAGTGACTTTTCAGGATTTTCAGCCCATCCTAATGATCGCCTCGTTTGAGGGCTTGCCATAGATTCGCGATGTCCTAATTTGTATAAATTTTCCTTGGCCTTATTCCTTCATTCTATTCTTTTTCAATTTTCCTCAAGCAAAATATCCCTGTGTCCAGTATTTATCAATATCTATAGACACTCCCCCCTGTTTGCGTTGCTTTCAACGCAAACACATTTAGAAATTTAGAACGGACTCTTATCCCACAGCAAATAACAGCAAAGCACACAAGCAAGTTCTTAACGGTGCATTCATTCAACGCACACACACAGACACACGAACTGACCAGTGCCCAAAGTGGTGAGAAAACTCACCCTTATCTGCCGGACTCTGGAGCGAGAGTCAGCTCGGCGCCCATGAATGGAACGCTGAGAAAAGACGCAACACGACCCAAATACCTCGTCGCCATTAATGTAGCGTCCCTGGGTGGGCACCCTCGTCGCCATTAATGTAGTGTCGAGAAAACAATGCTAATTATGCTGTGAGAACAAGGAATCCGTTGACACTGTACTTTGATTATAAAGGTTTATTATATCAAAAGATTTCAGCGTCAATTTACAGACATCTGCAGACATCTGGAGAATAACCGGCCACAATCTCTAATATGTTATTCTCCCCTCCTTTGTCCCAAACCATAGTATAGATATCCTATGTAACCTGATATGGGTGTTTTCCCCTACAGACCAATCCCAGGACTCCACCCAGCAGACTTCCTCTGTTTTAGGGTGCCCCTGTAGAACTACTCTCCAGATGCTCCCTTAAGCTGAGTATCCTCTAAGACCATTTGCAACCGTCAGCAAAGTCATAAATTGTTCAGATACTACATTAGTCACAGGAATCGGGACTAATAAATCCAATGCAATGGCCTGTTCTACAAATGGTAGGCTTACCACATAGATGGGCATTCATAAAATTCTATTTCAGGCAACACTGTAGGCTACACCTCAGTAAGCACGGGCTGATGCCTTTTGGACGTCTTTTTTTGGTGCAGTCCGGACCGGCCTTGATTTCCACATCCATGGACAATGTTTTTTGTTCCGGTCCCGGCAAAATCTGAACCAATCATAGATGTCTATGTTTACTTCAGACCGGCCATGATTTCAATGTCCACGGACATAGATTTGGACCAGCCTTGATTTGGCCCAAACATAGACTTCTATAAATTACATATTTTCAACTTTCATTAAGAACCAGAAATTAGCCTGATTTTAACATTGGGAAAATACATATTTTTGACGTCTAGAAAATACGTATTTTCAACATCCAGAAAATATGCCTTTTCAACATCATGGAAAATATGTATTTTAAGCGTACGGAAAATACCTCTCTTCACCTTTCATTCAGAACCTAAATTGAACCTAACTTCAACGTCTGGAAAATACGTATTTGACCCGTCTTTTCAACGTAAGGGCATTTTTTGCTCTTGCCTAGGGCGGCAGAACGGCCCTGTGTTTATGACCCTGTGACTATAACCAGGCGTTTGTGTGTTCTAGAATGTTCCCATGGTCCTATGAGTTTGGCCGGGCTGTGATGGCTGTGGACTACATGGTGTTTACCCTCCGTCTCATCCACATATTCGCCATCCACAAACAGCTGGGACCCAAGATCATCATCGTTGAAAAAATGGTGAGTGCTTTTTAAAAAGAGGGATAAAACCCTTTTTACTACAGTGTGTCTAGATCAGGGATGGGCAACTTTGATGGTTGTGGGGGCCACAAAAAATTGGTCATGAGGGGCTCTACATACTGACATCCATACACATAAACTCAGCAAAAAAAAGAAATGTCCTCTCACTGTCAACTGCGTTTATTTTCAGCAAACTTAACATGTGTAAATATCTGTATGAACATAACAAGATTCAACAACTGAGACATTAACTGAACAAGTTCCACAGACACGTGACTAACAGAAATTGAATAATGTTTCCCTGAACAAAGGGGGGGTCAAAATCAAAAGTAACAGTCAGTATCTGGTGTGGCCACCAGCTGCATTAAGTTCTGCAGTGCATCTCCTTCTCATGGACTGCACCAGATTTGCCAGTTCTTGCTGTGAGATGTTACCCTACTCTTCCACCAAGGCACCTGCAAGTTCCCAGACATTTCTGGGGGGAATGGCCCTAGCCCTCACCCTCCGATCCAACAGGTCCCAGACGTGCTCAATGGGATTGAGATCCGGGCTCTTCACTGGCCATGGCAGAACACTGACATTCCTGTCTTGCAGGAAATCACGCACAGAACGAGCAGCATGGCTGCTGGCATTGTCATGCTGGAGGGTCATGTACCACATGAGGGAGGAGGATGTCTTCCCTGTAACGCACAGCGTTGAGATTGCCTGCAATGACAACAAGCTCAGTCCGATGATGCTGTGACACACCGCCCCAGACCATGATGGACCCTCCACCTCCAAATCGATCCCGCTCCAGAGTACAGGCCTCAGTGTAACGCTCATTCCTTCGACGATAAACGCGAATCCGACCATCACCCCTGGTGAGACAAAACTGTGACTCGTCAGTGAAGAGCACTTTTTGCCAGTCCTGTCTGGTCCAGCATCGGTGGGTTTGTGCCCATAGGCGACGTTGTTGCCGGTGATTTCTGGTGAGGACCTGCCTTACAACAGGACTACAAGCCCTCAGTCCAGCCTCTCTCAGCCTATTGCGGACAGTCTGAGCACTGATGGAGGGATTGTGCGTTCCTGGTGTAACTCATGCAGTTGTTGTTGCCACCCTGTATCTGTCCCGCAGGTGTGATGTTCGGATGTACCGATCCTGTGCAGGTGTTGTTACACGTGGTCTGCCACTGTGAGGACGATCAGCTGTCCGTCCTGTCTCCCTGTAGTGCTGTCTTAGGCATCTCAAAGTACGGACATTGCAATTTATTGCCCTGGCCACATCTTCAGTCTGCAGTGCCTCCTTGCAGCATGCCTAAGGCACGTTCACACAGATGAGCAGGGACCGTGGGCATCTTTCTTTTGGTGTTTTTCAGAGTCAGTAGAAAGGCCTCTTTAGTGTCCTAAGTTTTCATAACTGTGACCTTAATTGCCAACCATCTGTAAGCTGTTAGTGTCTTAACGACCGTTCCACAGGTTCATGTTTATTAATTGTTTATGGTTCATTGAACAAGCATAGGAAACAGTGTTTAAACCCTTTACATTTACATTTACATTTAGTCATTTAGCAGACAATGAAGATCTGTGAAGTTGTTTGGATTTTTACGAATTATCTTTGAAAGACAGGGTCCTTGAAAAAAGGGACGTTTCTTTTTTTGCTGAGTTTACATGCAGTCAAAGTCCTATCCTTAAAGCCTTTTGGGGGCCATAGCAACATTTTGTTTTAGAGTTAATTTCCTGCAATTCTATACATTTTGCCATGGGCGTAGAGAAAATGTTGTAATTTTAAAGCAAGTTTGCTAAAAAAAAAAAAAAATGAGATGGGGCGGAGAGAAGATGTTGCAATTTTATAACAAATTTCCAATTCTACTCATTTTGACATGGGGCTGAGAGAAAAATTTGGAGTTTTCCAGCTAATTCCCTGCAAGTCCACACATTTTGCCATAGGATGGAGACAAATGTTTGCAGTTTTTAATATGATATCTGATGATCAACGGGGGCCACCCGGTCAGTAGTTCGACAATGATTACTACAAGTTTAGATAGCTGGACGCTAGACTAACTTACCAATCAAAAAATGGTAGCTGACATGGCTAATTGAGTGACTGTTAGTGACTGACATAAGAGAAAAACTGCTGATGCACAACAACATTAAAAAATTGCACCTTGTAAAGAAAAAGACGTGTGTGTGTGTGTGTGTGTGTGTGTGTGTGTGTGTGTGTCTAATTATTGATTGTGAGAGCATAGACAGCACCATTGAGGCCATCTCCATTTTGAAGTAGTCAATTTCCTTTTACTATTCCTATGAATTGGCAAACAAACTGAAAGGGTGCAAACAAACCACACTGAGTGTGTTGTTTGAACAGGTAATAAAGCCAAGGTTTTGCGATTTACTGCCACCTGCAGTTATGGAATGTTTGCTCACAAGTATAATTAATTGTCTGATCCCTCCTAATGACCCAGATGTGATCCTTCCTTAACCCATAGGAAGTCCCACCCATTTGACTACTTCAGTCCATAATGGCACTGCCCATGCTAAAACTGGCTTTTGGGAAGGAGAGTTCCCAACCTGCCTTGCAAAAGTATTCAGACCCCATAGATTTCTTCACATTTTATTAACATTGATTTGATTGTAATTTTTTTGGTCAACAATCTACTCCAAATACTACTTTATTTTACTAAATAAGTTCAGGAGTACAATTTGTCTTAACAAATCACAATAAGTTACAATAATAGGAGTTGACATGATTTTTGAATGACTAACCCTTCCTCTGTCTCCCATACATACATCTGTAAGGTCCCTCAGTCAAGTATTGAATTTAAAGCACATATTCGACTAAGACCAGGGAGCTTTTCAAATCAGACATGGAATATCTCTTTCAGCATGGTCAAGATAATAATTATGCTGTGGATTATGTATTAAACCACCCAGATACATCAAAAATACAGTCGTCCTTCTGAACTGAGCTGTAGGACAGGAATTAAACTGCTCAGGGATGTTACCATGAGGACATTTGGTGATTTTAAAACCATTACAGAGTTCAATGGCTGTGATGGGAGAACTGAGGATGGATAAATAACATTATAGTGACTCCACAATAATGACTTAAATGACAGAGTGAAAAGAATACAAATATACAGAATGGGAATATTCCAAAACATTCACCTTGTGTGCAACCATTTACATTTTAGTCATTTAGCAGACGCTCTTATCGACTTACAGTTAGTGAGTGCATACATTTTCATACTGCCCCCCCGTGGGAAACGAACCCACAACCCTGGCATTGCAAACGCCATGCTCTACCAACTGAGCTACATCGGACTCAACCAGGCACTAAAGTAACTGCAAAAAAGGTAAAGGAATACACTTTTTGGCCTAATTGCAAAGCCTTATGTTTGGGGCAAATCCAACAGAACACATCACTGAGTAACTGCCTCCTTATTTTCAAGCATGGTGGTGGCTGCATCATGGTATGGGTATGATTGACATCTGGAAATACTAGTTTTTCAGGATACAAATAAATGGGATGGAGCTAAGCTGAGGCAAAATCCTAGAGGAAACCTGGTTCAGTCTGCTTTCCAACAGACACTGGGATAGGAATTAATCTTTCAGCAGGACAATAACCTACAACACAAGGCTAAATCTACACTGGAGTTGCTTACCAAGAAGACAGTGAATGTTTGAGTGGCCAAGTTACAGTTTTGACTTAAATCTGCTTCACAATCTATGGCAAGACTTGAAAATTGCTGTCTAGCCATGATCCCCAACATCTTGACAGAGGTTGAAGAATTATGAAAAAAAATGATGGCTAATATTGCACAATCCAGGTGTGCAAAGCTCTTAGACTTACCCAAGACTCACGGCTGTAATCACTGCCAAAGGTGTTTCTAACAAGTATTGACTCAGGGAGCTGAATACTTATGCAACAACTATATTTTAGTTATTTAATTTCTCTTAATCTTTAAGAAAAATATAAATAAAATGTACTACTTTGACATCAAGTATTTTGTGTAGATTGTTGGCAAGAAATGACAAATCTCTTTTAATCCCACTTTGTAAATCCAAGGGGTCTGAATACTTTTGCAAGGCACTGGTCTAGATCCAGGTGCTGGTTTTGGCAGGAACAACTAGTATCCAAAAACAAGTGTAAAAACTGCACTAGAAAAAACAGCCGATGTCATTTTCTCCCCTTAATATTCTGCTCCCCTCCTGATTGGCAGATGAAGGATGTCTTCTTCTTCCTCTTCTTCCTGGCGGTGTGGCTCATGGCCTACGGCGTAGCCAATCAGGCACTGCTCTACTCCTACGATCCTCGTCCCGGTTGGATCTTTCGCCGAGTGTTCTACAGGCCGTACCTGCACATATTTGGACATATCCCCATTCACGAAATGGATGGTGTGTTGATGTTTGTGTACAAATGTGGTTTGCATGTGTGGCAGGTAGCTTAGTGGTTAAGAGCATTGTGCCAGTAACCGAAAGGTCGCTGGTTCTAATCCCTGAGCCGACTAGGTGAAAAATCTGTCGATGTGCCCTTGAGCAAGGCACTTAACCCTAATTGCTCCTGTAAGTCGCTCTGGATAAGAGCGTCTGCTAAATGACTAAAATGTAAATGTAAAATGTATGTAACATAGTACAGGTAACTGCCAAAATAAAGGAAACACTTGAGTAAATGAGGGATACAAAGTACTGTATATTGAAAGCAAGTGGTTCCTGAGTTAATTAAGCAATTAACATCGCATCATACTTAGTCATGATGCAATGTTAATTGCTTAATTAACTCAGGAACCACTTGCTTTCAATATACAGTACTTTGGATAAACATGCCCAGTTGGCCATTATTTTGGCTACCATGGCTAGAAGAAGAGATCTCAGTGACTTTGAAAGAGGGGTCTAAAAGGAGTTTAGGAGATTTGATCTGTGTGTGTGTGTGTGTGTGTGTGTGTCCACAAAACACCAAATTATGGAATTTCTCATGGAATAAAAGGTGTTACATCCCTCCAGTAGAGTTCCAGACACTTGTAGAATCTATGCCAAGGTGCATTTAAGCTGTTCTGGTGGCTCGTGGTGGCCCAACGCCTTATTGAGATGCCCTGTTGGTGTTTCCTTTATTTTGTCAGTTACCTGTGTGTGTATATATATATATATATATATATATATATATATACACCTGTATACACACTGAATGTACAAAACATTAAGGACACCTTCCTAATATTGAGTTGCAGTCCCCCTTTTGCCCTCAGAACAGCCTGAATTCGTCGAGGCAAGGACTCTACAAGGTGTCGAAAGTGTTCCACAGGGATGCTGGCCCATGTTGACTCCAATGCTTCCCACAGTTGTGTCAAGTTGGCTGGTTGTCCTTTGGGTGGTGGACCATTCTTGATACACACCGGAAACTGTTGAGCGTGAAAAACCCAGCAGCATTGCAGTTCTTGACACAAACCGGTGTGCCTGGCACCTACTACCATACCCTGTTCAAAGGCACTTTAATATTTTGTCTTGCCCATTCACCCTCTGGCACACATACACGATCCATGTCTCAAGGCTTAAAAATCATTCTTTAACCGGTCTCCTCCCCTTCATCTACACTGATTGAAGTGGATTTAGCAGGTGACATCAATAAGGGATCATAGCTTTCACCTGGATTCACCTGGTCAGTGTATGTCATGGAAAGAGCACGTGTTCCTAATGTTTTGTACACTCAGTGTGTATGTGTATATATAACTTGCTTCTCTCTTTCTTGGTTCCTCTATCTCTGTATCCCATCTCAATTCCTTACTCCAACCCCTGCCCAATCTACCCTCTTTGTCATACCATTTTAAATATTTATTCTTTACACCCCTCCCCATTTCTTCCCATCTCTTTTGATGGGGCGGCGCACAATTGGCCCAGCGTCGTCCAGGGTAGCGGAGGGAATGGCCGGCAGGGATGTAGCTCAGTTGGTAGAGAATGGCGTTTGGAACGCCAGGGTTGTTGGTTCGATTCCCACGGGGGGCCAGTATAAAAAAAAAAAGAGCGTCTGCTAAATGACTAAAATGTAAATGTAAACTCTCACCGTCTCCCTCCCTCCCTCGTGTCTGTCTGTAGCTGATAAACTGGAGGAGGGGATAGAGTGCACCAATAACGTCACCCTGATGGAGGCAGGGGCAGAGCCCTGCACAAGTACCTATGCCAACTGGCTGGTGGTCATTTTATTGGTCATCTTCCTGCTGGTCACCAACATCCTCCTGGTCAACCTGCTCATTGCCATGTTCAGGTAACGGACCCTCTCAGTCTGTCCCTCTTTCTCTCTCTTTCCCTCTTTCTCTCTATGTCCCTCTTTCTCTCTCTGTCCCTCTTTCTCTCTCTGTCCCTCTTTCTCACGCTGTCCCTTTTTCACTCTCACCATCTTTCACTCTCTGTCCCTCTTTCACTCTCTCACCATCTTTCTTTCTCTCTCTGTCCTTCTTTCTCTCTGTTCCTCTTTCTCACACTGTCCCTCTTTCACTCTCTAACCATCTTTCTCTCTCTTTCCCTCTTTCTCTCTCTTTCCCTCTTTCACTCTCTGTCCCTCTTTCCCATCTAGCACCCCCCCCCCCCATATCCCTGTTTCACTCTCTTTGTGTTCCCCTTGAGAGATCATCACTCATTCAATAGGCCTCTTTAATCCGTGGGCTGAATTCCTCTTATTTTATCTAGTTCCTCACTGTCTCTTCAATAGTGTTGTTGGATTAAATTAATCAACTTGATTTAATTTGTGAGTGTCTTATTTGATACTAGCCCTGCATGTTTGAGTGCCATATATTTTTCTGGCTCTGCTTTCATGTGTGTCATTGGGGCCCAAAACGCCATTAACCAAAAAGTATAATAAAACCAATAATTTGTTATATGAGCAAGAGTCACCTATTCCGATATTCTGCCTAGTAACCATTTCTCTGTCTCGCTCTCCTTTCTCCCTTCCTGCAGTTACACATTCTCCAAAGTGCAGGAGCACAGTGACACCTACTGGAAGTTCCAGCGCTACAACTTGATCGCGGAATACCACTCTAGACCCTGTCTGGCACCACCCTTCATCATCCTCTCCCACCTTCACCTCTTCATCAAGAGACACATCCGCAGGATCCCCTCCGTCAAGATCAAACACTTTGGTGAGAGAGGGAGGGAGGGAGAGAGGGAGACTGGGGGAGGGAGGGAGACAGAGGAAGGGAGACCAATGATCAGATAAGTCACTTCAAGTATTGAACTTGAAGTATTTTAGAGTCCTCTTCCATTGTCCTTCAAGAGTGTTTTTCTCATTTTCTCTTCTTCCCATTTTCTTTGTTCTTCCCTCTTTTCCCCTCCTCCAGTTCTGGATATCCGTGGTAGGCAGGCCAGTAGACTGAACACATGGGAGGCCATCCAGAAGGAGAATATACTGTCTGCCCAGAACAAACGAGAGCGAGAGAAAGACTCAGAGAGACTCAAACGCACCTCTGTCAAGTGAGACATCTCTCCATCTCTCACCCTCGGCCACTTATTTATGTCATAGACTAAATGCCAGATTCATTTAACAGCTTCAGTTAACAGCTCGGCTTGATCTGGCCTATAAATAGAATAGTTGAGATGCTGTAGATTGATTGTCTTCCTGTGTTAGGGATCGAGTCAATTACATTTTAAATTCATGAATCAAAATAATGAATACACTTCCTAAATTGACTGAGAAGTGATAAGTGAATTGACCACTAACCTGTGTTGCGGTTGTGTCTGAAGGGTGGACAGTGTCCTAAAGCAGATGGCAGAGATCCGGGACCACGGCCGTAGGCTCAAAATGCTGGAGACAGAGGTCAGTGTCAGCCTGGGCTGCTGCCCGCAGCTCTCACACACAACCTGCTTTATCTGCCCAGTGGCAAAGAGACACGTACCTGAAGTTTCAGTAGTCCTTAAGTGTGTGTGTGTCTGTGCACGCACGTGTGTTCCTTAGTGTGTATTCGTAAGTGTGTGTACATGACGGGGGCTCAATGCGCCTCCCCAGGGTTTCTCCCTCAACATTTGGACTGCAGCTGTTGTATCTGCCTGCTCAGCACTGTATAGAGTCCATCCGTCATGGTCACCCCTCTCACCCTCCCTCTCTCCCCCCTCTCTCTTTTCCCCCTCTTTCACTCGCTCTCTTTCTCTCTCTCTCTCTTTTTCTCTCTCTTCTCTTTCGTTCCCAGTTGGAGTACTGTTCTAGTGCCCTCTCCTGGATGGTGCAGGCTCTCTCTCAGAGTAACTTGATAAAGCCCACATGTCCTCCGCCCGCTCTCCGAGGTAAGGTTGCATACAGATATATGTAATACACATGATATAGGTTACATACAGATATATGTAATAGATATATGATATAGGTTACATATTATGTAATGTTGCCTCCTACCTCCAAGAGACATTTCCAGTCAATTGTATTACTTGGTTTTTGTACTAATTCCAGTTTCTGTTGTGTTTTCTCTTTCAGATCAGACTCTCCAACTAGCTGACCCAAGTGATGGAGAATAGTGAAATCTAGACACATGTGTACAGTAAGGGAAAAAAGTATTTGATCACCTGCTGATTTTGTACGTTTGCCCACTGACAAAGAAATGATCAGTCTATAATTTTAATGGTAGGTTTATTTGAACAGTGAGAGACAGAATAACAACAACAAAATCCAGAAAAACACGTGTCAAAAATGTTATAAATTGATTTGCATTTTAATGAGGGAAGTAAGTATTTGACCCCCTCTCAATCAGAAAGATTTCTGGCTCCCAGGTGTCTTTTATACAGGTAACGAGCTGAGATTAGGAGCACACTCTTAAAGGGAGTGCTCCTAATCTCAGCTTGTTACCTGTATAAAAGACACCTGTCCACAGAAGCAATCAATCAATCAGATTCCAAACTCTCCACCATGGCCAAGACCAAAGAGCTCTCCAAGGATGTCAGGGACAAGATTGTAGACCTACACAAGGCTGGAATGGGCTACAAGACCATCGCCAAGCAGCTTGGTGAGAAGGTGACAACAGTTGGTGCGATTATTCGCAAATGGAAGAAACACAAAAGTCCTGTCATTCTCCCTCAGCCTGGGGCTCCATGCAAGTTCTAACCTCGTGGAGTTGCAATGATCAAGAGAACAGTGAGGAATCAGCCCAGAACTACACGGGAGGATCTTGTCAATGATCTCAAGGCAGCTGGGACCATAGTCACCAAGAAAACAATTGGTAACACACTACGCTGTGAAGGACTGAAATCCTGCAGCGCCCGCAAGGTCACCCTGCTCAAGAAAGCACATATACAGGGCCGTCTGAAGTTTGCCAATGAACATCTGAATGATTCAGAGGAGAACTGGGTGAAAGTGTTGTGGTCAGATGAGACCAAAATCGAGCTCTTTGGCATCAACTCAAATCGCAGTTTTTGGAGGAGGAGGATTGCTGCCTATGACCCCAAGAACACCATCCCCACCGTCAAACATGGAGGTGGAAACATTATGCTTTGGGGGTGTTTTTCTGCTAAGGGGACAGGACAACTTCACCGCATCAAAGGGACGATGGACGGGGCCATGTACCGTCAAATCTTGGGTTAGAACCTCCTTCCCTCAGCCAGGGCATTGAAAATGGGTTGTGGATGGGTATTCCAGCATGACAATGACCCAAAACACACAGCCAAGGCAATGAAGGAGTGGCTCAAGAAGAACCACATTAAGGTCCTGGAGTGGCCTAGCCAGTCTCCAGACCTTAATCCCATAGAAAATCTGTGGAGGGAGTTGAAGGTTCGAGTTGCCAAACGTCAGCCTCGAAACCTTAATGACTTGGAGAAGATCTGCAAAGAGGAGTGGGACAAAATCCCTCCTGGTGGCCAACTACAAGAAAAGTCTGACCTCTGTGATTGCCAACAAGGGTTTTGCCACCAAGTACTAAGTAATGTTTTGCAGAGGGGTCAAATACTTATTTACCTCATTAAAATGCAAATCAATTTATAACATTTTTTACATGCTTTTTTCTGGATTTTTGTTTTGTTATTCTGTCTCTCACTGTTCAAATAAACCTACCACTAAAATTATAGATTGATAATGTCTTTGTCAGTGGGCAAACGTACAAAATCAGCAGGGGATCAAATACTTTTTTCCCTCACTGTACACACACACACACACACACACACAAAATCACTGTCACTCAGGGCCAAAGATTGTCAAGAAATGCCAAAGCCGGACTCGATGTTCATTCATCCATCATTTCAATGTCCTTTTATAAACTTTGATCATTTGAACTGCTGCCATTTTGTATGTGGACCATTGTTGCTCTTCTATGTTACACCTGTTGTTCTAGAAATCTTGTTCCTGTGGGTTCTAGAATGGATGGGCGTCTGTTCTTAATGTAAGATGTACAGACATTTGTAAAAGTGCAATTCAAATTTCTCTACCCCCATAATGACATGACCAAGTACAAAAGCATTCAACCTGACACGATCACAAAAACATACATTGTTTGTATGTTGCTTTTTGGTTTTGCACTCGAAGACTCTCCACTAAGGGCTATATTCAATCAGTTCTGCCTTAATCCGCGATAACCGACAACTGCATAGCAGTTTCATTGTTTTTATTTAGGCGATATCAGAGCTGTAACTGTGTTGGAGCTGTCAAATCAGAAAACTGCTCCCTGCTTTACATCACTACACCGACCACGCACGTGCGTCTGTTTGCACCATCGTGAGCATGTTGATTTTGTCTATCCCCGCCAGACGCAATCAGGACAAAATAGCAATAGGGGGAGCAGAATGGGGGAGAACACAAGACTGGTAGTAGACATGAGGAAGGTCGTTACATTTATGACAGCAGCAATCACTTGCACAGAAAAACTGCTTAAACCTACTTTAGATTTTGTAATACAAGGTTATGTTGCAGTCCGTAGAGATAGGGTGGGAGGGGGAGGATTGGACTGAGGAGATGGATATTTGGGGAAGTGGAGTGGGTTTCAGGAGTTGATTGAACAGTAGCTGTCTCAGGTTGATCTAAATTCAGATATAGAAACAGTGAATGATGGAGTAAGAGGAGAAATAGTAGGGGCTGTAAGGCAGGTGATTCCTATGGGGACAGGGGGAGAAAGAATAACGCTGTTCCCTGGTGGAGTGAAGAGTGTAGAGAAGCAGTGAAGAGTAGAAACAGGCCTATCAGAATGTTGAAAAGGTCCCATAATTACCAGCACCTGATTCAGTATAAACAAGCACAAGCAGTAGTAAGGAGGGTCATTAGGACAGCTAAAACAGAGTGTTGGCACAGGTTCTGTGGAAACATAGGCAGGATCACTCTTGTGGGAGAGGTATGGGGGATGATTAAGGGGATGAGTGGGGTCAGACGAGATTGTTGCAGTGAGAGATATGGAAAAGGCAGATATGTTAGCCTAGGCATTTGTGAAGGTGCACAGCTCAAATAATCTGAGAAGAGGGGCAATGTGGGAGAGAGAGGGTCAGAGGAGAACATTTGGGGGTCGTGGATCAGAGAGAGATGGTGGGAGATGCGTTGAATGGCCCTTTCACGTTGGCTGAGATGACGAGAGCATTAGCTAAAGCTGGGGTAGCATCTCCTGGGAAGGATGAGATATGTTACATCATGCAATGGGAAAAGTATTGGGCCTTTACAATAATATGTGGCAGGAAGGGAAACTGCCTGGAAGTTGGAAGCAGGCTGTAGTGGTGCCAATACGGAAACCAGGGAAAGATCCTACTAGTCCTTCAAGTTATAGGCCGATTAGCGTTGACATCTCATGTATCCAAACGTATTATAACGGAAAGGCTGACTTACTTTCTGGAGAGTAGAGGACTAATGTCACCAGATCAAAGTGGGTTCAGGAAAGGCAGGGGAACGATGGATCCTGTACTGTGCCTTGAGTCAGTCATACAGAAGGCACAGGCAAATAAGGAGGTGGTGGTAGCCGTTTTCTTCGATGTAGAGAAGGCCTACTTATCAAGCTGGATATCATGGGGGTTGGAGGAAGGGTTTTTAACTGGATAAATGATTAAATTTTTGGCCGATCAATACAAGTGAGGGTGGGGAGCTCTATGTCAGAAAGCTATGAGATAGATAATGGTACCCCCCAGGGAAGTATCATTTGTCCTTTGTTGTTCTCCAATATGATTGACATTCTCCCAGGTGAGATCTTATATTGGGAGGTCATTGTTTGCGGATGATGGGGCACTGTGGAATAGAGGGAGAAACATTACCCACACAGCCAGGAGAGTTCAAGAAGCAATCAGTGAAGTTGAGCAGTGGTCCCTCATGTGGGGCGTCAAGTTGTCAGTTGAGAAAATGCAGACAGTTTTTTCTAGAAGGAAGGTTGCGGAGGAAATATACTTGAAATTGTATGGAAGGAATCTGGAGAGGGTGGGAGTGTTTAGGTTCCCGGGGGTCTGGTTTGGCACTTGAATGACATGGGCAGAGTATATTAAAACCTCTTAATGATCGGACCCTTTTTTTCAATTTTCGCCTAAAATGACATACCCAAATCTAACTGCCTGGAATTGCATTGAAAATGCTATATATAGTGCTGTTAAGGTCATCAATGGATTGTGGAAGTGTAGCATATGGATCAGCAGCTCAGACATCTTTAAAAAAGCTAGATGTAATCCAGGCCCAAGCCCTAAGAATATTTTGTGGAGCACTCAGGACCTCCCTGGTGGCAGCGATGCAGGTAGAGTTGGGAGAGATGCCGGTAAAGTTAAGAAGAAAACAGCTAACCATGACATACTGTGTAAATCTACATGGACATAAGGTTACACATCCTACAAAAACGGTGCTCCTAGTGTTCTGGAACATAAACGAAATCTGAATACAAGATTTGGGTGGATAGGCAATGGTATGGCGAGAGAGATGGGGTTGTTTGGGAGGAAATTTTGTCCCTCTGGTTCTTCCTGCTATCCCATCTTGGTTGCTCCCTCAGCCAGTGATAGATCTAGGGTTGCTTGAGAGGGTAAACGCTGTTGAGGAAGGAGTAGATTCAGTTCTAAGTGAATATCTGAGAACACTGTTGTGTTGAGTAAAAGTTGCTAGTCATTGCTGATAAACAAAGGAGTCCGCTCATACTGAACCTTGATCATAAGTTTATTCATATCACAAGCTTTCAGCATGAGTTACAGGTGTCAAGATCACCCGGAGAGCAACGTCCCAGATTGCAATGGCTGCTCTAACCTCTTCTTCGTCCTGCATATACTTATAAACAATGCAAAAATATGGGTTGCTCCCTCTGCTGTCCAATCACCTGTCTCCCCTGGGGCGTCACCCTACAAATGGCTACTTTTGAACTAG